TTACGATATTTTTATCAGAATAAATGGATTTCTCGACTCAAAATTAGTCAAAATCGATGTATCACAAGTTATGGTTGGTTGTCTGGTTTAGATTTTTATGTAAGTTTGCAGCCATCTTGAATAAGAGCTACTGTAATCGCCGGACGCCATTTTCTATGGGTGTGAAATTTTTCTAGGTTTTATATGTAAAGTCAAAGAATATTCCTTATAGGTTTTGTTTTGAAAAAATAAGCCATTTTACGAAATTTCAAAAAATTAAATCAACCATTTTGAAAAAATGGCGGAAACTCCTCTCCTCGTGGAGGAATTTTTTGGGGACTCGACTAAAATCTCTTAAAATCGCCTTAACAATGTCGGTGCCAAATTTCATGCTTGTATACCTAATAGCCACATTTTTGCTTTATTAAGCCATTATCATCTGTACTAAGAGGGTCGTTTTGTAAAAGGTCATACTATGCCCTTGAAGGATCACACAGCAGAATCCAGTGAAGTATCGGCTGCTAGATTACCGAAACTTTTCATTTCTCGTTTCTCAACTACCAAAAATCAATTTGTATCCTGTAGCACGGGAGAAACCTAGTGTGGTTGAGATTATAGGAACAAAAAATCCTGGAGATATTAGGTACAGGCTGTCGCGAAAACAAAGCAGGCAGTTATTTTTGCATTTCTGTTCTCGCTGAACACTGGACACCAATAGCTTACAGACATATTTGAATAATAAAATGAATACCACCTCGACTAAATACTAATATCAGCACAAGAACATATAAATCTCTCAAGGTCATGGCAGATATCAATCTTTTGAAAGGAGTTATACAGGGTGACCTACGACCTTTTTCTCAGGTAATAACTTCTAGTTGGGGAGCTGGCGTCAAAAACATGCAAGAGTTTTCGCAAGGCGGATATTTTCAAAATAGGTCGTACTTTAGTGCTAGAATGCTAGTGTACAGTCAGCACTCACAGTTCCGGGACAGCTGGCTCTGGGACGCGGGCAAAGTTGTAATTTTAAGAAGCATCTAAACTGTTTTCTCAAAGCTCAAAATTTATAGAAATTTTGCACATTATCTGATTGAAGGTCACAGATAACGTATGTAAATCGTCAGACGTCTAGTTCGTTGCAAAAAGGGGGTCAGACGTCCTCAAAGTTTTTATTTTATGGCATTTTCTTCAAATATATTTGTCAAATACCTGCAAAAATATATTTTGACAGGAAACCGAAGAAAATGCCATAAAATAAAAACTTTGAGGACGTCAGACCCCCTTTTTGCAACGAACTAGACGTCTGACGATTTACATACGTTATCTGTGACCTTCAATCAGATAATGTGCAAAATTTCTATAAATTTTGAGCTTTGAGAAAACAGTTTAGATGCTTCTTAAAATTACAACTTTGCCCGCGTCCCAGAGCCAGCTGTCCCGGAACTGTGAGTGCTGACTGTACACTAGCATTCTAGCACTAAAGTACGATCTATTTTGAAAATATCCGCCTTGCGAAAACTCTTGCATGTTTTTGGCGCCACCTCCTGGACTATTATTTTATTTTCTGTATATTCAATAGAAAATACAGGAAGCCTCCAGCTTGTGGAGCTGGTCCACACTCCGAGTGGTTCTAAATTTAGAGTATGGCTGACAGAGTACGAGATAAATAGGGCAAAAACAGGTAAGTTGGAATAAGTCTTCAACACAAAATATATTAAAACCATAATCATTACATATTTGTTATTTTAGTAATGCTTTGACAATTTGATAACACTAAACCTACTTTTAGATCAGGCATTTCTCGATGAACTTACACAAAAATACTATGGATTCCGCAAGAAAAAATCTTGTCACGTCCATCGATTCGTTTGAAGTTGGAGAATCAAATGCGCATCCAGAAACAGCAAAGCTTTGGTCATTTGATACTACAAATTTTCTAATATCATTGGTGAAGAAATACGATGACGAATTCCAAAGCAAAGTTAAAAGACATGTATGGCAGAAAATTGCAACCATTGTTTCTGATCAGACTAAATTAAATGTGAGTGCACAGCAGTGTGACACAAAGTGAAAAGGGCTGAAAGATATGTACAAAAATATCAAACAGCATAATGAAAAGTCTGGAAATGATGCAAAAAAATGGATATTTTTCAATAAGATGGATGAGTTCATGTACAAGAAACCTGAGATAGTTCCCCCTGTAACGTGTAGCAGTTCAAGAGGGCTCAAAATTAACAACAGTGCAACAGCCACTACTTCAACAGGTAGGTACAGTTTTAACATGAACTTTATTTTTCAGAGAACTAGATTAATTATTTTGCTTTCGAGATGTAGATTGTGAAGAAAATACTACTGACTGTAATGACATAGAGAATGACACCCCCAAAAGAACTGGCAACTTGGGCAGAAAAAGAGCAAGATATGAAAATACTGTCGATAAGCGCCATAAGGACAAAATGCAACGCCAAGATCGATTTCTTGATTTGTTCGAAGATTTGGTGAATACCATGAAAAATAAGTGATTTACTGTACAAGAGTACAAGGGCTGTGAGTGATCCAGTGATCTCCTTCATTTATACCAAATTTTCTATGCTAGAAGTTGAATTATTATTTTCTTCCTCAGTGTAGGTTCTTCTTAGTTAAAAAATAGAAAGTTGTAGAGTTGTAAGAGTTCTGTTACCATAAATAAATTTGTTAAGCAATTGAAAAATGTTCTTATTACTTTTTCGAGACTAGGGCAAACACAAAAGATATTCTCGCTTGATGTTAATGGAATTTACTGAAAAAAAAACAAAATTCAGTGTTTAAACTTTATAACAATAAATTATTCATTAAATTATTTCTCTTCTGAACTGCTTCTCTCCTTATTGCAGGGGCATTTTCAACATTCATATGTGCTGCCTCTTGTATAACCCTTTCTTCTTCTATTTCTTGAGCTAAATGTATTATCTCTTCTGCATTATCATTATTCAAAATAGGTACATACATTATGTAATATGCATGCTGCGATAATAAATAAACAAATTAGGTCCAATCTAACAGTTTCCAAGTATTTCAGGCGTCGAAATCGGCCTTTCAAAAGAGCAATGGCTTGCTCAATAATAATTCTTATCTCGGATAATTTATTATTGAAATTTTTTTGTGGATCAGTTAAATTACCCAAGTCCTTGAACCCAACCATGAGTGTCTTTGTAAGTGTATAGGCTAAGTCTCCTATGATATCGGGTCTTCAAAAAAAAAACCAATCAAAGATTGCTATGGTTTTTCAAACGTATGTCTTAGCAAAATTTTTCTTTCATTTTGTTAATGAACTTAATGTCAAAATGTCATGTCAAAAATCCTGACCAATAAAGAAACAGTAATGCGACGTACGTTTTCGTAATCAAAGCAATCTTCGATTGTTTTTTTTTTTTTTGAAGACCCGATATGTGTAGGTATCATTTAGGAAATTGGACAATCTCTGTCCTTATTCGCTCAGATAAATCTGACATTTGGAATAGTCACATCATGGCAGGATCCTGGTACTCCTGTAAATACGTCTGGTACAATGGTTCCAATTTTCTGGAGTAAGTTTTCCATCGTTGGTGTATTCATCCGGAAATGTCTTCGGAATTGTCGGTCGTTGAAGAAATGAACAACATGTTCCACAAAATTTACAACTTTCGGTTCCTCCATGCGTTCTTCTTCATCATCAAAGAATATTTCATTAGCAAAATTAATAACCACTGGAAAAATTCGACTAATTTCCATATTGTTGCCGTTTGCGAGTACCCAACTATCAACTATTGACAAAGTATGTCATTAATGACCATATATAGTTAATGACTCTGACGGACAACTCTAACAAATCTCTACCGTTCGGAAATTGGCAAGCATCTAGATGACTCCAGGGTCAGGTGATCAAAAAATCTGTCTGGTCTCATCCGCTCCGCGATGGCTAAAACGAACTCACCCTATGATAAAACTGTGTTTGTCACATTGCCTGAATCAACTTGTAAACATAATAAATTTCTCTTTAGAACAGGGCAAAGTACCAGACCCATGAAAAATTGCTCTAATACGACCTCTCCCTAAAAAACCAAATCCAACAATCACAGATCTTAGGCCATATATTGTCTGCTTGACTTCTATTTTTTGAGTGTACATACAGTACATTGCCAACTACTTCAAAGATTTGAGAAAAAGTGGCTCATGAACAGATCAATAATGAGTACATTGCCACTTTGCCGCATTTTCAATCAGGATTTGGTTGGCCCAAACAATAGCTATACTAATACTCTTCTCAAAATAGTCAATGTTCCTACTGGACATAACAAAGATTTTTAATAAAATAAATCACGAACTTCTCATTTATTTAAACTTTGATCACATAAGTCTCTCATGGGTTTGTAATTATCTATAATGTATAGGCGTTACCAGCTGATGCGAATCAACATCTCGGGTATGCCTAAGCTCTCAGAACCAACACAGATACAATCTGGGGTACCACAGGGGTCCATTCATGAACCAATGTTGTATTCATTTATACATTTGACTTGACAAGTGTTGTACATTCTGCTTTGCATGATGTCCCTTTCTACCACAGCGTTCCAGTTTCCTTATTGCTTCTAACACCCTTCCGCATTTATTCCAGAATTCTCTTCATTGTATCTTTAATTTTCCCCATTTGTTCTTGTTCCTTTTGTATTGACAGCTCTGATCTAGTTTGTTTCTCAGAGATGCATACGGTTTGAAACTGGAATTTAAAGTTTTCCTTGAGTTGGCCCTGTGCTTTTTGTTGTCGGGTTTTCTCCTTTTGTTTTTCTTTCGTCAAAATATACGGAACAACCCTGTACATATTTCTGCCCTTTTTACTGCAAAAGCAGATCAGTAATTATATAGGCATTACTGTCGCATTCCTTCTTTTAACTTTGGAATTGAATTAAGAATAATACCTACTTGCTTTTCTACATAATTGCGACCCCTCTTACTCCTCTGTGAGAAAATGGGAATTTACTTACCTAATTTTTGATTTTTTTCAGGTAGAAAACACATTGCAGCAGCCAGAAAAAGCTGCCAAGAAAAGCAAGTGGAGGAGAACATTATGCGTCTCAGAATCGACCACATCGAAGGGGACATGCAGAAGGCGAACCAAAAAATATTCAGTTTGCAAAAGCTCAGACTCAGCTTGGACACTGTAAGAATCGAGAACCCCAATATATTTTCCAACACCATTTTCTTCTATTTTTAGGCTACAAAAGAGCACATATTAAACATAGACACCAAAAACACAGTAGTGAACGCCAAAAGAAAACATTTGGACGAGGAAATGAGCCGACTTAAAAGCGACATAACTTTGCAAAAAGTAAAAGTGGAACATTTAATGAAAAAATACTATATTGAATTGATGTCGTTGGGTAAAGACGATGACGGTCAACCCTTGTCCATAGCACACATAAAAATCCAAAACGCCCAAGAAAAATTCATGCTCCAACAAGAAGGCGACGAACTAGACCAGAAAATCAAAATAGCCGAACAAGAAATTGTCGCCATCGAAAACACATTGAAATTAGTAAATTTGAGTAACGTGTGTTTCCGAAACAATTTGGCACCTTTAAAAGAAGATGGTAATAATATAAATAGAAAAACAATTTTTTTTATTTTTTTGATTTTAGATTTGGAAGTCCAAGAAGTGAAAACCTTGGAACGTGAACTCAAAGACTGGATTCTCAAAGCTAGAAAAGCTCGGAACGACCTGATGGAACAAGAGAAAATCCACGATGATTTATCAAAAACTCTAAACGAAACCCTAATGGTTGAGAAACAAGAAAGAAAAGAGCTGACCAGGCAATTAGAAGAAGAAAACTGTTTAATCGAAAAGCAACGGAAAAATAAAGAGGAAAAAGTGAAAAGGACGCACCACTTGATAAGACAAGCACTAAAAAAGCTCAGAAACAGAACGGATTTTTCAATTTATGAGGCAAATATTAATTAAATTTCTATGTAACTATTTGCTCTATAAATAAATTTTAGCAAGATTCTGAAGTCCGTCAACTCCGCGACGCCAATAACACAGTAATAAAAAAGCTCTACAGTTTGAGCTCGGAGTACCCTGACATTGCTCCAAATCTCAACAAATACACAACAGAACAAAATATCGACTTGCAGTCGTTCGCCAGCTTGAGTTCGGAATCTTTTTCGTCAACTTCTTCGATTCACAGCAGAGTGTCGACCAACAGGAGTTTTTCAATGGAATCAGTAGCTGTTGCCACGACAAAAGTCGATATTCTATTTAAATAAACTAAACTTTTGTATTTTTTGTATTTATTAAAAGGTAATTTTTATTAACGTGAAATGATTTTTGGTGTTTTTCAGTCCATTCCTGGTGGTAGTGGTTCGTTGCCGGGATGAATTACTGCTGGAGGTGGTAGTGCCTGGAAAAAAAAAACATATATTTTAGATAAAATAGATCGGAATATTCAATGTTTTATTTTAAGGAATAACAGAAATCGAAACACGAACAGGTTCTTACCTGAACATTTGCGTCAGCAATAACAGGAGCAGGCACCATAGCGGGAGGCAAAGCAAAAGTGCCCAAAACGATTTCCTGTACGCCGGAAGGCACGTGACTCCTTTGGGCTTCAGTAAACGTATTTAGATGCTCTTGCAGGGGCACTTTTAAATCAGGACATGACGTCAAAACTTCCACAAGTTGAGGCGGAGGCAGTTGCATAAGCACGGCGAAACTTTGAGGTTTCGTTCTTTGACAGCATTTAATGAAACCTTCCCAGATTACTTTTTGTTTCCAAACCTAAAAATATAATTGTTGAAATAAGACATAAATTAGAAGTACAATTCTTACCTGTTTGAGTATCAGCCTTTGCAAAATATTCATAACAAACCCAGACAATCTTGGATAACTGGCTAAAGCGTAAAGTACGGTCCGCATTAGAAGCGTGGGAACTGGAGTTTGATCCATGAGCTGTTGCAGAACTACAGCCAAAACTTCTTGAGTAAAAATCTACAATTCTGAATTATAAACAAATCCAAAAACAAACTATTTCGCTTACCTGTTTCTCCTGCATACACAAATTAACTGTTTTAATTATTGTTTTCAAATCAGCTTCTTTCGGATCAACTAAATGTAGGGCCACTAGTAATTCTGTAGGCGAAATAGGAGTTTCTCCATGAATGCCTAAAAGCCTGTTGAAAACTTCCCTTACTACCACTGGGCTTAGTTTAATAAGTTTGGGAAGAACAGCTATAATCTAAAACATAAATCCATTTATATAAGTATACTACTCAAAACGAAATAAGGACCATTTTTAAGAGCAGGTTTTCATTGAATTTTGAATAACCCTGGTAAAGTGACTATTTCCATTTACAATAAGTATAGATAAACAAATAAAGTGCGCATAAAAAACTTATATTGTAAATGGAAATAAACACTTTACCAGGGTTATTCAAAATTCATTAAAAATAAATGGGTTTTCAAAAGTGGTCCTTATTTCGTTTTGACTAGTTTATAATTTATAATAAAATCAATTATTTACCTCTTGTTTGGATAATCCATTCAGCACAGGAATAAGGAACCTGACATCGGTAACGTTAGCGTTATAAAGAGTACGAACTTTTTCGACTAACTCCAAACTGGGGGTGCCTTTGTCCGTTAAAATCGTTATGACTCTAGTCACCAGAGGCTCTGAGCCTTTGCTGCATTCTTCTACGAGTTTGATTAATTCAGGACAGTCCATGCCCATTGATCTTATTGGGTGTTCGATTAATCTTAGGATTATGCGTTTTATGTCTGCACTAGTTTGGATGTAAACCTGGAACAAAGTTGAAGTTTGAGAAACTTTCCACGATCAAATCTGTAGATTTTGACCTAATATACAATTTAAAAGCAATCTCAACTTGCTTTATTATATCAAGTTAAAATGGTAAAAATGTTGGATACTCCACATTGCAATCACAAAAATTTAAAATCCTGATATTCCAACTTAAAAGTGATGCACAAATATGAGAATTTCTTTTCAAGGATTTTATGTAAAACATTGTTGTTTGATAAAAATCAATATTAATCCAACAGTGGTTCTTATACTCCCCAGTTACCAAACTTCCCGGGTGTACTAACCCAACCTACAAACAACAAACTACCAAGTGTTCTAAGCATCCTCCTAATAAAAATAAACATCAATAAGGCCTCCATGTTGAAATTTTTTATTCAAAAACTACTCAACGAACAAATATGAGAATTTGAGGATTAATTTTCAATGATTTCATGTAAAACATACTGGAACCTCAAAGCGATTAAGCATCAAATAGAAAAGTTCTGATGTTTGTAATTTGAGTAAAAATAAACATCAATAAAACCTCCATCTTGGAATTTTTAACTCAAAAACTAATCAACTCACAAATATGAAAATTTGAGGATTCATTTTGAAAGGTTTGAGGTAAAACATACTAAAAATTCAAGGCAATTGCTCGTCAAATAGTGAAATAGTGACATTTTCAAATTGGGTAAAAATCTTGTAAAAATTAACATTAGGAAACTTCTACTGTGGATTTCTTAACTCAAAAACTACCGTGCGCACAAATATGAGATTTTGTAGAGATATTTTTGAGGGTTGAGGGAAAAACATACTAAAAATTAAAGGCAATTCAACATCAAATAGTAAAATAGTGAAATTTTTAAATTAGGTAAAAATAAACATTGAGAAGCCTCTACTTTGGATTTTTTAACTCAAAAGCTACCAAGCGCACAAATCTCAGATTTTGTAGAGATATTTTTGAGGGTTCAAAGAAAAACATACTAAGAATTCAAGCCAATTGAACATCAAATAGTTAAGTAGTGAAATTTTCAAATTGGGTAAAAATAAACATCGAGAAGCCCCTACTTTCGATTTTTTAACTCAAAAACTACAGAGCGCAAAAACCTGAGATTTTGGAGAGATTTTTTTGAGGGTTTAGGAAAAACATAATAAAAATTCAAGGCGATTGAACATCAAATAGTGAAATAGTGAAATTTTCAAATTGGGTAAAAGTAAACATAGAGAAGCCCCTACTTTGGATTTTTTTAACTCAAACACTACCAAGCGTAGAAATCTGAGATTTTGGAGAGATTTATTTGAGAATCTAGGGTAAAACATACTGAAAATTCAAGGCGATTGAAAATCAAATAGTAAAATAGTAAAATTTTCAAATTGAGTATAAATAAACATTGAGAAGCCTCTACTTTGGATTTTTTAACTTAAAAACTACCAAGCGTAGAAATCTGAGATTTTGCAGAGATGTTTTTGAGGGTTTAGGGAACAACATATTGAAAAATCAAGGCAATTGAACATCAAATAGTAAAATAGTGAAATTTCTAAATTAGGTAAAAATAAACATAGAGAGGCCTCTACTTTGGATTTTTTAACTGAAAAACTACCAAGCGTAGAAATTTGAGATTTTGTAGCGATATTTTTGAGGGATTAGGGAAAAATATACTAAAAATTCAAGGCAATTCAACATCAAATAGTAAAATAGTAAAATTTTCAAATTGGGTATAAATAAACATTGAGAAGCCTCTATTTTGGATTTTTCAACTCAAGAACTACCGAGCGCACAAATCTGAGATTTTGTAGAGATATTTTTGAGAGTTTAGGGAAAAACATACTGAAAACTCAAGGCAATTGAACATCAAATAGTAAAATAGTAAAATTTTCAAATTGAGTATAAATAAACATCGAGAAGCCTCTACTTTGGATTTTTTAACTCAAAAACTACCGAGCGCACAAATCTGAGATTTTGTACAGATATTTTTGAGGGTTAAGGGACAAATATACTAAAAATTCAAGGCATTTGAACATCAAATAGTAAAGTGAAAAATTTTTCAAATTGGGTATAAATAAACATCGAGAAGCCTCTACTTTGGATTTTTTAACTCGAAAACTACCGAGCGCACAAATCTGAGATTTTGTAGAGATATTTTTGAGGGTTTAGGGAAAAATATACTAAAAATTCAAGGTAATTGAACATCAAATAGTAAAATAGTGAAATTTCCAAGTTGGGTATAAATACACATTGAAAAGCCTCTACTTTGGATTTTTTAACTCAAAAACTACCAAGAACACAAATCTGAGATTTTGTAGAGATATTTTTGAGGGTTTAAGGAAAAACATACTAAAAATTCAAGGAAATTGAACATCAAATAGTAAAATAGTGAAATTTTCAAATTGGGTATAAATAAACATCAAGAAGTCTCTACTTTGGATTTTTTAACTCAAAAACTACCGAAGGCACAAATATGAGATTTTGTAAAGATATTTTTGAGAGTTTAGGGAAAACATACTAAAAATTCAAGCCAATTGAACATCAAATAGTGAAATTTCCAAAATCAAGAAGCCCCTACTTTGGATTTTTCAACTCAAAAACTACCGAGCGCACAAGTCTGAGATTTTGTAGAGATATTTTTGAGGGTTTAGGGAAAAACATACTAAAAATTCAAGCCAATTGAACATCAAATAGTGAAATTTTCAAAATCAAGAAGCCCCTACTTTGGATTTTTCAACTCAAAAACTACCGAGCGCACAAGTCTGAGATTTTGTAGAGATATTTTTGAGGGTTTAAGGAAAAACAGACTAAAAATTCAAGGTAATTGAACATCAAATAGTAAAATAGTGAAGTTTTCAAATTGGGTATAAATAAACATTGAGAAGCTTCTACTTTGGATTTTTTAACTCAAAAACTACCGAGCGCACAAACCTGAGATTTTGGAGAGATTTTTTTGAGGGTTTAGGGAAAAACATACTAAAAATTCAAGCCAATTGAACATCAAATATTTAAGTAGTGAAATTTTCAAATTGGGTAAAAATAAACATCAAGAAGCCTCTACTTTGGATTTTTTAACTCAAAAACTACCAAGCGTAGAAATCTGAGATTTTGTAGATATATTTTTGAGGGTTTAGGGAAAAATATACTAAAAATTCAAGGCAATTGAACATCAAATAGTAAAATAGTGAAATTTCCAAGTTGGGTATAAATACACATTGTGAAGCCTCTACTTTGGATTTTTTAACTCAAAAGCTACCGAGCGCACAAATCTGAGATTTTGTAGAGATATTTTTGAGGGTTAAGGGACAAATATACTAAAAATTCAAGGCAATTGAACATCAAATAGTAAAGTGAAAACATTTTCAAATTGGGTATAAATAAACATTGAGAAGCCTCTACTTTGGATTTTTTAACTCAAAAACTACCAAGCGTAGAAATCTGAGATTTTGTAGATATATTTTTGAGGGTTTAGGGAAAAATATACTAAAAATTCAAGGCAATTGAACATCAAATAGTAAAATAGTGAAATTTCCAAGTTGGGTATAAATACACATTGTGAAGCCTCTACTTTGGATTTTTTAACTCAAAAGCTACCGAGCGCACAAATCTGAGATTTTGTAGAGATATTTTTGAGGGTTAAGGGACAAATATACTAAAAATTCAAGGCAATTGAACATCAAATAGTAAAGTGAAAACATTTTCAAATTGGGTATAAATAAACATTGAGAAGCCTCTACTTTGGATTTTTTAACTCTAAAACTACCAAGCACACAAATCTGATATTTTGTAGATATTTTTTTGAGGGTTTAGGAAAAAACATACTAAAAATTCAAGGAAATTGAACATCAAATAGTAAAATAGTGAAATTTCTAAGTTGGGTATAAATACACATTGTGAAGCCTCTACTTTGGATTTTTTAACTCAAAAGCTACCGAGCGCACAAATATGAGATTTTGTAGAGATATTTTTGAGAGTTTAGGGAAAAATATACTAAAAATTCAAGGCAATTGAACATCAAATAGTAAAATAGTGAAATTTCCAAGTTCGGTATAAATAAACATTGAGAAGCCTCTACTTTGGATTTTTTAACTCAAAAACTACTGAGCGCACAAATCTGAGATTTTGCAGAGATATTTTTGAGGGTTTAGGGAAAAACATACTGAAAACTTAAGGCAATTGAACATGAAATAGTGAAATTTTCAAATTGTGTTTAAATAAACATTAGGAAGCCTCCACTTTGGATTTTTTAACTCCAAAACTACTGAGCGCACAAGTCTGAGATTTTGTAGAGATATTTTTGAGGGTTTAAGGAAAAACATACTAAAAATTCAAGAAAATTGAACATCAAATAGTAAAATAGTAAAATTTTCAAATTGGGTAAAAATAAACATCAAGAAGCCTCTACTTTGGATTTTTTAACTCAAAAACTACTAAGCGCACAAATCTGAGATTTTGCAGAGATATTTTTGAGGGTTTAGGGATAAACATACTGAAAACTCAAGGCAATTGAACATGAAATTGGGAAAATAGTGAAATTTTCAAATTGTGTATAAATAAACATTAGGAAGCCTCTACTTTGGATTTTTTAACTCCAAAACTACCGAGCGCACAAGTCTGAGATTTTGTAGAGATATTTTTGAGGGTTTAAGGAAAAACATACTAAAAATTCACGGAAATTGAACATCAAATAGTAAAATAGTGAAGTTTTCAAGTTGGGTATAAATATACATTGAGAAGCTTCTACTTTGGATTTTTTAACTCAAAAACTACCGAGCGCACCAACCTGAGATTTTGGAGAGATTTTTTTGAGGGTTTAGGGAAAAACATACTAAAAATTCAAGCCAATTGAACATCAAATAGTTAAGTATTGAAATTTTCAAATTGGGTAGAAATAAACATCGAGAAGGCCTTACTTTGGATTTTTTAACTCAAAAACTACCAAGCACATAAATCTGATATTTTGGAGCGATATTTTTGAGAGTTTAGAGAAAAACATACTAAAAATTCAAGACAATTGGACATCAAATAGTTAAGTGGTGAAATTTTCAAATTGGGTGAAAATAAACATTGAGAAGCCTGTATTTTGGATTTTTCAAAAACCACCGAGCTCACAAATTTGAGATTTTGGAGGGATATTTCTGAGGGTTTAGGAAAAAACATACTTAACATCCAAGGCAATTGATCATCAATTAGTGAAATTGTCGACATTTTAAATTGGGTAAAAATAATCATTGACCAGCTTTTGAGTTAAGATTTTAAGTAATTGTGCTGTTTTTGCAATCTCAAGTCACTACCTTATCAAATTTAAAAACCATAATGAATTTCTAAAAAAATAAAGATGCTAGAAGGTACATTCAATGTTGCCACATTCTCACAAATACATAAATTCTCACTTACCTTGGCTAAATCGTGAATCAATGCAGGATTCCCAGGCAACAACGAAATGTAGGGCAACAGGCAGGCTTTAATGAAATCGTCCCCCCAATAATCACTTTTGATGCGGCCTTGATTTTCACCGCATAAACTGTCTGGGGGTTTAGAAAGCTAGAAAAAAAAATCATTTAAAACCCAAAGCAAATTTCTAGTTTTATCCCACCTTCAAAAACTCCAAATTCATTTTGGCAAATTCCTCAATAATAAGGCTAAGCTCGAAATGCTTATGCAAATCCAAAACGTGCCCGATAGCAGCATCTCTAACTATTTTAGAGTCATAAGTTGTATAGGTTAAAAGTATATTAAGAAAGGTTAATTGTTTTGGAGGTTTTCTCAAAGTTAGGTCTCTGAGTAGTCCAAGAGCCCAGCCTGAACGTTTGTCGTCCCTGCAAATTTTCTTGAAAATAGCCAAAGCCTCATCAGTAATTAAAGGAGCTTCCAATAGTAGTCGGGATAAAACTATGGCATCATTGGCTGAAGATTCGATAAAGTTTTCCAATAAAACATTGTAGCACTGTTCAGGCCGGACACCTTTGCGCAGTGGTGGAATTCTTGCAAAACCCTTAAGAAAAAACAAAATTGTTTAAACATTAAATAAGCAGCAAATAGATTTACCTGAATAATGCTGTACTCTTCAAACAGCCAAGCTAAAGCTGTGTCTACATTGTTTCTCAAATCTCCCAGCAAAAAAGTCAAAACAGTTTCACGTACTGCCGCATTAAAATTGGACGCTAGCGTTGTAATGATTTTTTGTTGCAATGCTTTGCTTTTGCTTTTGTCGCACAGCAAAAGCCTTCTCACTGCAGATACAAGTAATTTTTCTTTAACATCTTTCGACAGTGGTTTGGTAACTTCTGCTAGTTTTAGGGCCTTTGTTTTGGTCAGTTTTTGTTTGTCTTTTTTGGAAGGCTAAAAAATTAGGTTTGAAATAATAATCTACAAAAAAAATTAACCTTACCATGTCATCCTCCTTTTTCCCGTCTTCATTGTCCCTCTTTCTCTTGTTAGTTTGTTCCAATTTTTCCTCAACTTTAACATTAACTCCAGGTCCAACTTTGGCATCAACAAATTGAGCTGCCAACACTTCAGCCAAATACTGCTTCCCGATTCTTCCGCTGCTGACATACTTGGCATACTCCTTATTAAAACTCGCAGGCATATTTATCGGCAGTTTAGGTATATTGGTAAAAATCAAGTAGATGGCTTTTTCAACCGTTAAATTGGTGTTTATGAATTTTTCGTTGGCCTCTTGCGGGGTCTTGGCAAGAGATAGCTCTTCTTCTTCTTCGATTTCTTCAGGTTGGAGCTGAATAACTGGAACTTCTTCTTCGTGGGTGCGTTCAACGCGGGCACGTTTTGAGGCTCTTTCACTGGACTCGGCCAAGGTGCGTTTTTGGTATTTGCGACGTTCGTCGGATCTTGGAACCAGTTTGTTTATTTCGTTTTGGGTACAACCTAGAATGTTAAGTAATAGAGTTTGAGATATTCCCTTTTTCTTTGACCATAAATAATCAAAAGTTCTAGTATTAAAAAAAAACTCACCCAACTCTAAAAGCAACGGCGTCAACTTTCCCAAATGCTCATAAGCAGCTGGATGCTTTACCAAGCCTGACAGTTCGGTTTTGAGCTTCTTTTTCACAGAACTCACTTGGGTGGTGGTTAAAGTTGGCGGTAAGTTGTTGTAGAGCTGTTCCAGAGCGTCAACAACTTTAACCATAAATTCGGCACGGTTTTTGGCTATGTTGGTCAAAACACCTATGCAAGCAAATAAGTTGGCACTACTAATATGCGGAGAGCCGTGGAATTTTACTAGAAGTTCAAAGAGATTGCTGCAAAAGAGTCAATTATTGTAAATTTCTAATTGAGTTTATTGAGTTATAATTACCTTGCTTCATCTTCCAACTTTCTTCTTCTAGCAATCTTCAACGTCAAAGGTACATTATCCAAAGAAAAATCGTTTTGTTTTTTGTTCTCGGTTTCATCTGGATAGCTTTGCAACAGCACGACGCATTCCAGAAACTTGACGCTACTAGTACGAATTCCGTCATTGTCGCTATCGATCATGTTGGCTATTTCCAGCTTGATTGTGTGCAACTGTTTCCAGCCCTCTTGCATTTCGCTGGTGATGGTTGGGACTTTGCATATCCAAGCTAAAGTGCGCCGGTAGATTTTGATTGCGGCTTGGATGACACGTTTTTGAACTGGGATTGATTCGTCGCATAGAAGCATGTGCAAAGAGACCATTATTTTCGGGATTAATGATTCGCGGACTTGGCTAGAAGAAAAATGGAAACTATTGTGTATTCTAGATAAGTATATTTTTGTCTTCTAAATTTGGAGGGATTTGCGGGTAGTTTGAGAAATTGTTTGCACAAATACAGGGGGGTGGTTTACCCGAAGGTTTACCCCTTGATTAAATCCCTCTAATTAAATCTCTTGCCAATAATTCCAATTCAACTGCAATTTTTTTTTTTTTTAATGAAGCAAATATTTAAAGAAAAAAACGAGAGGTGGTTAACTGCTTTAAATATGTACACAGATTTTAAATCTTCATTGATTTTGTAGGATTTTGAGGATTTTGAAAATCTTCATAGGATTTTACAGGATTTTAAAAGATTTTAGGTGATTTTGGAGGATTCATTTTAGGGAAGTTAGAAAGGTTTTTGGGAATCTCAAAGAATTTTTGGAAATGTTAAAGGAATTTTATAGGATTTTGCCAGATTTTTTTTGTTCTAATAAAATTTTGTTAGATTTTTAAAGATTTTAAAGATTTTCAGGGATTTTAAGTAGATCTTACGAGTTTTTCTGAGATTTTGACCAACTTGTATATAAATTTTCATCAATTAACCGCTTAAAGTTTAGTTAACTCCATAAACTGTGTACATAATTAAATCTTTATTGATTTTGTAGGATTTTGAGAATTTTGAAAAACTTCACGTGATTTTTCAGGATTTTGAAAGATTTTAGATTCATGAGATTTTAGGTGATTTTGAATCATATTAGGAAATTTACCAAGGGTTTTCTATGGCGCTAATTTAGGGGAGTCTCAACGATAAGTATTTTTTAAACTGACATTTCTCCATAGAAGACTGTCATTTTAAGAAATACTTATTGTTGAAACTCCCCTAAAATAGTGGGTGGAAACAACCATTAGAGATCCTAAAGGATTTTTAGAAATTTTAACGGTTTTTTGAGGATTCCAAAGAATTTTTGGAAATTTTGATGGAATTTTTTGTAGGAATACATATTAATGACTTTATCTACAAGCGTTTGGTTATGACGTTTTTACATAACTATTTTTTTCTATTTTGGTGTCATATCGAAGTCTTTTCGACACTAAAAGTAGTTTCGAAAAGAAGCTCTTTGTGACACTCCTTTTTTACTTATCGGAAGTTGGTAACACTGGCTGACTGATGGCCTAATATAGGGCTCGTGCGATAAAATGACGTCTTATGAAACTTGTATTTTAATGTACTATTCTAGTATTTGAGTTGTGTCATGAGACTCATAACACAACTAGTGGTATTATAGACTTGGTTATGAATTCATAACACAACTAGTGGTGTTATGGACGAGGTTATGAATCTATAACACAACTATTTTTGGTGGTTTGACAAATGTCAAAGGTAACACGTGCGTTTAAGCATGACTACAAAACTCGTGTGATTAGAACGACTCGGTCTACGACCTCGTCGTTTTAATCTTTCACATTCGTTATTGTATACTTGTTGTTAACCTTCTTATAATGTAAATAACTATTGTAAGATTTTGCCAGGTTTTTTTGGTTCTTATAAAATTTCGTGTGATTTTGTAAAATTTTATGCGATTTCAAGTGATTTTTAAGGGATTTTGTGAGGTTTTGTTAAATTTTAAAAGATTTTCAGGGATTTTAAATATATCTTACAAGTTTTTCTGGACTTGTACACTTTGACTAATCAACCGCTCCGAGGTTAAGTTAACTCGATGAAATAATGAACACATTTTAAATCTTAAATGATTTTGTAAGATTTTGGAAATTCTAAATTCAAATAACAAATTTGAATGCAAAAACGGAAATTCCTAGACATTTTACTATGGGATTTCATAATACTTTTCCGAATTTCATCATATGATTCTATGGAATTCCATCATAAAATTCAATGGAATTCTTGTACAAAAATTCCTCGGAATTACAGTAAAAGATTTCATAAAATTTCTCGGAATTCCACTAGAATTTTATGTAATTCGACAGAAATTCCTCAGAATTTCACTAAAATTTTAATCAATTCTTCGAAGTTCCGCCGAAATTTTTCATGGTTCCATGGAAATTCTGTTTAATTCCAAGGGAATTCTTCGGATTCGATGTAATTTCACTGGAATTCTACAATAAGATTTCAAGGAATTCTATGTATGTAATTCGACGAGAATTCCTTGGAATTTTACTCGACATTTCATCTAAATTTTATGTAAGTGTACACAAAGTTAAATTATACATAATTTGATGGAAATTCTGCGAATACTCCATAATTTTTTTATTTTTATTTGAAATACCGCTGAAATTCTCCAAAATTCTATAGAAATTCCAAATTCAATAATTTTTTCAAAACTTTAATGAAATTCCCCAAAACTTCACCACTGAAATATCCTGAAATTCCACAAAATTTTAATAAAATATTTCAGAATTTCACTGACATTTCCTGTGATTTCTTGGAAATTCCTCGAAATTTCACTAAAATTTTATGAGAATTTTTTGAAATTTCACTGAAATTCCACGTTATAAGTCGAAAATTTCTCGAAATTCCAATAAAACTTCAATTTTTTTTTCAAAATTACAATTTATTTCCATAAGAATTTTTCGGAATTTCACTGAAATTCTCTTTCAATAGTCAGGAATTTCTGGGAATATTAATGAAACTTTAAGTAATTTCTTGAAAATTCACCGAAATATATTGAAATTTTATATCATTACATGGGAATTTTTCCAAATTTCACCGAAATTCCAAGTTTTTAGCCAGAAATTCCTCGGAAATCCACTTGTAAAATTTTCTCTAATTTTACTAAAATTCAGTAATTCGATGGGAATTTTCGGAATTTCAATTTCACTAAAATGCTATGTTTTTAACTGGGAATTCCTTGGGATAAAAATAAAACTTCATGTAATTACATTAGGATTTTTCGGAATTTCACTGGAATACCTTATGAAACGATAAGAGTTGTTCAAAATTCCACTTAAATTTCATGTAATTCCCTGACAATTTTTTGGAATTCCATACAATTGCATCGGAGCTCCATATAATTCGATGAAAATACATGTAATTTTTTGAAACTTTTTTAAAATTCTTTATGTAATTCAACGAGCACTGAAATTTCATGTTGGGAATTTCGGTGTAATTCCATGTAATTGTTTAGAATTCCTCCATGCAACTTATTCAGGATTTCATGTAATTCGATCGAAATTCCACTGAAATTTCATGTAATTTCTCGAAATTTCATATTTCATGTAATTCGAGAGGAACTAAAATTTAATGTAAATTCTATGGAAACTCCGCAAAAATTGCAGATTTCACACCATAAAATACAATGGGATTCTTGGAATTTTTTTTTTCTTCAGAATTACAATATAAGATTTCATGAAATTCTTCAGAATTCTACTAAAACTTCCAGTTATTTCATGGGAATTCCGCGAAAATTTAAGTCAATTCCATAGAAATTCCTTAGCATTTCACCAGAAGATTTTATGGAATTCCTCGAAATTCCATTCAAGTGATAAATTTGAATGGAAAAACATAAATTCCTAGAAATTTTACTATAAGACTTCATATTACTTTTCCGAATTTCATCATTAGATTCTATGGAATTCCACCATAAAATTTAATGGAATTCTTGCACAAAAATTCCTCGGAATTACACTATGAAATTTCATGAAATTCTTCGGAATTCCACTAAAATTTCAAGTTATTCCATAGGAATTCCGCGAAAATTTTAAGTAATTCCATAGAAATTCCTTAACATTTCACCAGAAGATTTTATGGAATTCTTAGACAATTTTTTTTCGGAATTACAGTATAGGATTTCATGAAATTTCTCGGAATTCCACTAAAATTTCGAAATTCCATTAAAATTCCATATTTTTTTTTAAAACTTTACTGAAATTCCCCAAAATTTTACCACTGAAATATCCTTTATTGACTTTTCATGTAATTTCTTAAAAATTCCTCGGAATTCACTAAAATTTTATGAGAATATTTTGAAATCTCACGTTCATAGCCGAAGATTTCTCGAAAGTTCAATGATTTTTCAAAATTTAATTTATTTTCATAAGAATTTTTTAGAATTTCACTGAAATTCTCTTTTAATAGACAGGAATTTCTGGAAATATTTATGAAACTTCAAGTAATTTCTAGAAAATTCACCGAAATATATTGAAATTTCATGTCATTACACGGAATATCCCCGAAATTCCATGTTTTTAGCCGGAAATTCCTCGGCATTCCACTTGTGGAATTTTCTGAAATTTTACTAAAATTCAGTAAGAACTGAAATTACATGTTGGGAATTTTATATAATTGTTTAGAATTCCTCCATGTAATTAATTTAGGATTTCGTGTAATTCGATCGGAATTTCACTGAAATTAAAATTTAATGTGAATTCTATGGAAACTCTGCAAAAATTTCACATGTACTTAATTCCTTTTTCAGAATAACCTAATTATTCTATCGAAATTCCACTAAATTATAGAATTCTGAGAGACTTTATCAGATTTTTGGGGATTCCAAAGGAAATATTTTTCAGGAATGTTAATAATTTTATGAGATTTTGCAGGATTTTTTTGGTTTTAATGAATTTTTGTTAGATTTTGTAGGATTTTATGCAATTTCGAAGATTTTTAGGAATTTTGCGTAGATCTTATAAGATTTTCTGGGATTTTGACCAACTTGTACACAGATTTTGACCAGTTAACCACCCGTCGGAAAAAAATTACAATATTTTGAATAATCCGCCTTTTTTCAATCAATATTCGCATTGTTGCCTGATTGACACAAAATTGCTGTAGTATAAAATCTCTAGACAATGCGTGACATACAAGTTTTCCGAAATCAATCACAACATGGAAACAAGGCAATAAGAAAGCACCAATAGAAACCTATGGACATGGAAACTTAAGGATGCTGTGCTTAAGGCCTTTCCGAGTATCATAAAAAAAAAATGGAAAAAATACCTACTGCTCAAAAATACCCAAATTATTGACAACACATTGACATTGGCATAAATGTGCTAGAGTTTCTTAAGAAATACATAAGTTCAATTTTGTTTTTGTATAATTAGATCAGCACCCACAATGGGAAATGCTTTTGCCAATTTATTCAAAAGCCTCTTTGGCAAAAAGGAAATGAGAATACTTATGGTCGGACTAGACGCTGCCGGTAAAACCACAATTTTGTACAAACTCAAATTGGGTGAAATTGTAACCACGATCCCTACTGTTGGATTTAATGTCGAAACTGTAGAATATAAAAACGTAAGTTTTACTGTATGGGATGTAGGCGGGCAAGATAAAATAAGGCCTTTGTGGAGACACTATTTCCAAAACACTCAAGGACTCATTTTCGTGGTCGATAGCAATGACAGAGATCGTATCGGTGAATCCAAAGACGAGCTGATGCGTATGCTAGCTGAAGACCAACTCAGAGATGCAGTACTTTTGATTTTTGCTAACAAACAAGATTTACCAAATGCGATGAATGCAGCGGAAATCACTGATAAATTGGGGTTGCATTCGCTCAGAAATCGCAATTGGTACATCCAGGCTACTTGCGCGACAAGCGGAGATGGACTGTACGAGGGCCTGGATTGGGTTTCCAACCAGATGAAGAATTTTAACCGTTAAAAGTGATTGTTTGGACTAAAGTAAAGTTTTTTGAAAATTTATTATTATATTGCTTATATCTAATAATTTGAAAAAATACAATTTTGATGAGTAGTTTCAATACTCTGGTAATTTTAGCTTTCAAGGCAATGTTGTTGATGATGACGCCATTTTCACAAGAAATTATTTCCAAAGATTGAGGTTTTTAGTTCATAAAATCTACAGAATTCTTACCATAATTCCTCCATAAAACCAACCAGATTCCTTTTTACTTCCTGATGCTTATCGGACACGAATTCGAGCACATGGGACAGATACTTGCTTAACAAGTGGGGGTTTTTGTACAACAGCAACTCTTTGATTATGGCCAATTGCTGCACCTTATGCGTAGCATCTTGACTGGAGAGGACATTGTTGATCGTTTCCACAATCTAGAGAATAATAAAAAATTGTATAATATTGATGAGCCGGATTAATAGTATTTGAACCAAAAAATGGATTAATAGTAAATTTTATCTATGGTAGAAAAAAGTTATGATTATTCTAAGTTTTCAAAAATGTATGTCCAAAGGGAGGTGTATTCCTTCCAAAATGGTCTTTCAATTTTTTTGTGTGGAAATTTCGAGTAGTGATGTGACCGAATCTGAATAATTATTCGGTATTCAGTCAATTTGGCGTTATTTTTGCTATTCAGTGTTCGGCCGAATATTCGATTTTCACTACCGAATATTTCAGATTTGGATATTTTCAATTAATTTCAATTCAGAAAATTAAAGAAAATTGAAAAACAAACCTCTGGCGTTAAAGAATTCAACTTAACAGAGAATCTAATTAAAAAATATCAGTATAGTCTGTGGTATAGTAGAACAATAAGGGGTAGAATAATCAATATACAAAATCAATAATTTAATAAATAATCTGTTCATAGATAAACTGAAATCCATGATTTGTGAAGTGTCTGTAGTAAAGTCAATTAAAAATAGAAAAAGAAGAATAAAACCATGGATCACTGGTGGCCTCTTGATATCCATTAGAACTAGAAATAAACTAAAAAAAGAATGTATGTACAACAAATCAGAATAATCAGGCAAGTTAAAATAAGTATAAAACTTATAGAAAAATGCTGAATAAACTTATAAAAAATGCCAAGTATGTATATTGCAAATCTGTCGCTGAAAGAAACGCCAATGATCCAAAAAAATATGGCAGGTTATCAAAGAGGCTGCCAATGACCAGAGATCTATAACGCCAATAAAATGCATAATGAATGACGCAAACGAAGAGGTATCTGACATAAGAGAAATTGCAAGTGAATTTAACTCTTACTTTTGCAGCATAGGAAAAAACTTAGCGAAGCAAATTGCAGAGGGGATTCAGGAGGGGTATGTGTGTGGAAAGAGAAGGGTAGATTCTTTCTATTTGGGCCAGGTTACAGAGCATGATGTCCATGAGGAAGTTTGAAATATGGAGTGAAAGGAGGAGAAGATGTTATTTCTGCAGATATAATTAAGAGGTTTAAGGAAAAGTTGGTTGTCCCTCTGAGGCACGTTATTGATATAATTTTCTGTGAAAGAGTTTTCCCAAAAGTCTTAAAGAGCACCATTATAATACCAATGTACAAAGTCAGTACAAACAAGAAGATAAAAAGTCTAACAATAGTTATAGACCAATAGCATTGACGAGTACTATTAGCAAAATTGTAGAAAAGTGTCTTAGAAGTAAACCGAGAAGTAAACTAATATCATTCTTGGAAAAAAATAAGCTAATAAACATAAATCAATATGCATTTAGGAAAAACTCTAACACTGAGAATGCTCTTGTAAGGGTGACAGAAAAAATGTTGAGGGACCTTGACCAAGGGAAAAAGTGATGGGAATTTTCTTAGACCTGAGAAAGGCTGTTCTACTAGGGAGCCTGAATGACATTGGAATCAGAGCAATGCCAAATAAACTGATTAAATCATATCTAATAAAAAGAAAGTTAGTTACAAATGTATCAGGACAAAAAAGTGAGGCGAAACTGAAAATTTCAGATTTACTTATATCTTTAATAGGAAAAAAGTTATGACCTTCCAAAGTTGTTTTCCAAAATCTAAATCATAAGGTAGGTACCTTCTTACTAAATCGATGAAATTTCAAATTTTTTTTTGTTGAGATTTTGTGTCCTAATGGTCATTTGGGATCCCAAAAACTCCATACACTAAATTATTCCCAGATTTGAAGGCGAAATCTATGAAAAAAAGGCACTCAGAAAAATTGAAAAATTGGTAAATCACCCCAAATTGCTTAACACGATTTTATCTCAGGAACTATAAGTCCAAATGAGTTGAAATTTTCAGGGATTGTAGTCCTCTACTGGAATAAGAATCGCTGAAAATTTCAGCTTTATATCTTTAATAGAAAAAAAGTTATGACCTTCCAAAGTTTTCCAAAATCTAAATCATAAGGTAGGAGGTACCTTCTTACTAAATCGATGAAATTTCAATTTTTTTTTTATTGAGATTTTGTGTCCTAATGGTCATTTGGGATCCCACAAACTCCATACACTAAATTATTCTCAGATTTGAAGGCGAAATCTATGAAAAAAAGGCACTCAGAAAAATTGAAAAATTGAATAATCACCCCAAATTGCTTAACAGGATTTTATCTCAGGAACTATAAGTCCAAATTAGTTGAAATTTTCAGGGATTGTAGTCCTCTACTGGAATAAGAATCTCTGAAAATTTCAGCTTTATATCTTTAATAGAAAAAAAGTTATGACCTTCCACAGTTTTCCAAAATCTAAATCATAAGGTAGGTACCTTCTTACTAAATCGATGAAATTTCAAATTTTTTTTTGTTGAGATTTTGTGTCCTAATGGTCATTTGGGATCCCACAAACTCCATACACTAAATTATTCTCAGATTTGAAGGCGAAATCTATGAAAAAAGGCACTCAGAAAAATTGAAAAATTGAATAATCACCCCAAATTGCTTAACAGGATTTTATCTCAGGAACTATAAGTCCAAATTAGTTGAAATTTTCAGGGATTATAGTCCTCTACTGGAATAAGAATCGCTGAAAATTTCAGCTTTATATCTTTAATAGAAAAAAAGTTATGACCTTCCAAAGTTTTCCAAAATCTAAATCATAAGGTAGGTACCTTCTTACTAAATCGATGAAATTTCAAATTTTTTTTTGTTGAGATTTTGTGTCCTAATGGTCATTTGGGATCCCACAAACTCCATACACTAAATTATTCTCAGATTTGAAGGCGAAATCTATGAAAAAAAGGCACTCAGAAAAATTGAAAAATTGGTAAATCACCCCAAATTGCTTAACACGATTTTATCTCAGGAACTATAAGTCCAAATGAGTTGAAATTTTCAGGGATTGTAGTCCTCTACTGGAATAAGAATCGCTGAAAATTTCAGCTTTATATCTTTAATAGAAAAAAAGTTATGACCTTCCAAAGTTTTCCAAAATCTAAATCATAAGGTAATAATATTAAAAAGTTATTAACTGAATTGCTCCTAATTCTTCCAGAGAAGTATTTTCTCATTTGAAATATTGTGTTCAGACAACACAATAACTAGGTACCTTCTTACTAAATCGATGAAATTTCAAATTTTTTTTTGTTGAGATTTTGTGTCCCAATGGTCATTTGGGATCCCACAAACTCCATACACTAAATTATTCCCAGATTTGAAGCCGAAATCTATGAAAAAAGGCACTCAGAAAAATTGAAAAATTGAATAATCACCCCAAATTGCTTAACAGGATTTTATCTCAGGAACTATAAGTCCAAATTAGTTGAAATTTTCAGGGATTGTAGTCCTCGACTGGAATAAGAATCGATGAAAATTTCAGCTTTATATCTTTAATAGAAAAAAAGTTATGACCTTCCAAAGTTTTCCAAAATCTAAATCATAAGGTAGGTACCTTCTTACTAAATCGATGAAATTTCAAATTTTTTTTTGTTGAGATTTTGTGTCCTAATGGTCATTTGGGATCCCACAAACTCCATACACTAAATTATTCCCAGATTTGAAGCCGAAATCTATGAAAAAAGGCACTCAGAAAAATTGAAAAATTGATAAATCACCCCAAATTGCTTAACACGATTTTATCTCAGGAACTATAAGTCCAAATGAGTTGAAATTTTCAGGGATTATAGTCCTCTACTGGAATAAGAATCGCTGAAAATTTCAGCTTTATATCTTTAATAGAAAAAAAGTTATGACCTTCCAAAGATTTCCAAAATCTAAATCATAAGGTAGGTACCTTCTTACTAAATCGATGAAATTTCAAATTTTTTTTTGTTGAGATTTTGTGTCCTAATGGTCATTTGGGATCCCACAAACTCCATACACTAAATTATTCTCAGATTTGAAGGCGAAATCTATGAAAAAAGGCACTCAGAAAAATTGAAAAATTGAATAATCACCCCAAATTGCTTAACAGGATTTTATCTCAGGAACTATAAGTCCAAATTAGTTGAAATTTTCAGGGATTGTAGTCCTCGACTGGAATAAGAATCTCTGAAAATTTCAGCTTTATATCTTTAATAGAAAAAAAGTTATGACCTTCCAAAGTTTTCCAAAATCTAAATCATAAGGTAGGTACCTTCTTACTAAATCGATGAAATTTCAAATTTTTTTTTGTTGAGATTTTGTGTCCTAATGGTCATTTGGGATCCCACAAACTCCATACACTAAATTATTCCCAGATTTGAAGCCGAAATCTATGAAAAAAGGCACTCAGAAAAATTGAAAAATTGATAAATCACCCCAAATTGCTTAACACGATTTTATCTCAGGAACTATAAGTCCAAATGAGTTGAAATTTTCAGGGATTGTAGTCCTCGACTGGAATAAGAATCGATGAAAATTTCAGCTTTATATCTTTAATAGAAAAAAAGTTATGACCTTCCAAAGTTTTCCAAAATCTAAATCATAAGGTAGGTACCTTCTTACTAAATCGATGAAATTTCAAATTTTTTTTTGTTGAGATTTTGTGTCCTAATGGTCATTTGGGATCCCACAAACTCCATACACTAAATTATTCTCAGATTTGAAGGCGAAATCTATGAAAAAAAGGCACTCAGAAAAATTGAAAAATTGGTAAATCACCCCAAATTGCTTAACACGATTTTATCTCAGGAACTATAAGTCCAAATTAGTTGAAATTTTCAGGGATTGTAGTCCTCTACTGGAATAAGAATCTGAAAATTTCAGCTTTATATCTTTAATAGAAAAAAAGTTATGACCTTCCAAAGTTTTCCAAAATCTAAATCATAAGGTAGGTACCTTCTTACTAAATCGATGAAATTTCAAATTTTTTTTTGTTGAGATTTTGTGTCCTAATGGTCATTTGGGATCCCACAAACTCCATACACTAAATTATTCCCAGATTTGAAGCCGAAATCTATGAAAAAAGGCACTCAGAAAAA